TAACTTGGATTTTATCTGGTATACTCGAATGACACCTTCTGTGTGCGATATCTAGTACAGTTCTGGTCCATGCTGAGCAACTCGGATGTTGAATATTTGAAAGAACCGTCTGAGGCACAGTGATGTAGCTGCTTCCCTACGGCCAATGGTTGAAACAAGTGCCCGCTGGGATGAAGGTATCTTTAATGGATTTCCTCATACCGTTTAATAGGAGAACTGCACATTTGAAGGATACAAGGGTGCCTAGTACAGTTCTGGTCCATGCTGAGCAACTCAGATGTTGAATACTCGAAAGAGCCGTCTGAGGCACAGTGATGTAGCTGCTTCCCTACGGCCAATGGTTGAAACAAGTGCCCGCTGGGATGAAGGTATCTTAATGGACTCTCCTCATACCGTTTAATAGGAGAGACTCTTGTATGGAAAATTCTTGTTGTTTGCTATACTTGATAGAATACAAGTTGGATTTCTTGAAAAGTGCTGTAGATAGATTAATGTACCTTATCAAGAGAGGACGCTCTTATCTAATGTTAAATGCAGTGAACTTGAGGATGACATTGATGCTTCATACAAGGTTCGCACAATTGAAAACCTATAAAAAAATGTAATCACTAACTTTTTCATGTACAGTTTTGATTTATACTGGGAACACTTTGGATACCTAAATTATCCTGATTTCTGGTCAGCTTTTGATGATAACCCCTTTTATTGCAAGTCTGTTCTTCGTAGTTGCTTGAAATATCTTTGATGCGGTACCACATTCATGTATCGTTGTACTCTTTTTCTCTGTTATAGTACCATAAACCTTGCTTCCAACATGTTATAGTGTTGATTTTGACCGGATTTACTCACTATAAATCTTATTCGATTGCTATTTAAGCAACAGACTTATTTGACTGTTTAATTATTAGTAATAACGAGCTCTATCAACACCGCTATACGGTGCCAGCTCAGCTTCGCTATGGAAATAAAGACATGTTTTTTATAGCAAGAAAACTATATTGTGCGTATAAAGAATGACCTTGGTTGTTTTCTAGGATGAAAAGCAAGCCTGCTTTGCCTTCGAAATGAGTACATAGCCATGAAAAGTGTTCCCTTAAATGTTAATGAGTATGTCATCTGCTGACTGATAACTCTCAAAAGATAAACTATTTCTTATTTTCTTGCCATGATATTTATGCTTAAATTTGCTATAAAATCAATGGCTTATTAATTCTACTCTTTACTAAATGTATTGTCACTGTACATTATGTCTTGCTTCGCAACTCAGGGGGGGGGGGATCCCCAGACCCCCTCGGCCAATATACCTTTCAAAATGCAACGCCCATATTCTCTTTATTGAAAGACATCAGAAAAAACTATGTTGTGAGTATAATGTCCTACATTATCTTCCTGCACGGAAAAAATATTGTCTATCATAATTTTGATGGACGAAGGCTTGCTAACCTTGACAGAGCGACGTATAATTGACCATGTCCAAAGACATGACAGGGAAGGTATAGCCCAACAGAACTTAATGTCTGTCCCTGAGCAAACAAACAACTTTTTACTATGTAATTTCAAGCTAACTACTGAGTCATTTTTATAGAACTTGATAATTAAGCACTTACGTAAACGTTATTATGTGAGTTCAATTGTAAAGATATTAAGACATGGTTCATAACTAAGTAAAGCATCTGGTCTGTGCACTACACAGACAATGCTAATTATTGACCCGCTCAATTTATTATTATTATTTACCATTGTATAATCTTCCCCAGTTCTTGTACCACGTACAAGAAAGTAAGCCTCTTTATACTTTGCTATCAATTGCCTATATTTTTTGGTTACAGGCTTTAGTCTTGTGTTTCGAGTCTTTGAGAAAGTAAGACTTAAAAAAGACTTCTACAAAAAAAAAGTCTTTTTTAATAAATTCTCTTAAAGTAAAAGCTTCGTTTGCTGCCAATAAATTCTTGCAGCAGAACTTGATTCGGCAACAATAAATTCGGATCTGTACTTGAAACCACTACGTCTTCTTGATGTAAGTGCTGGAGGGGACTCATCAAAATCGTCACGGCTATAAGTTATCAAATTGTCACTGACAACATTTTCCATGGAATCAGGAATACCAAGGTTACTTGAAATATCGAGTTCAGGTTCGATTGCCTTTCCCTTTAAACTTCTTTTGAGAATCAATTTTCGGGATGTTTCCCCGACCTATAATGGAGGATAATTAAATTTTCTATCAAAATTAGACTTGGCAATGTTACATACTTCGTCTCTTCCGTCCCAAAATTAGTGGTTGAAAGTCATCGTCCGAGCTGTCATTTTGAGGTTCTTTTTATAATAAAATTAAGTTTTTTTTGGTAGCATTTCAATCAAATATTATTCATGTGCGTTACCGTTCATAGTTTAGAATGAATAAAAGAAGAAAAAAAAATACTCTTCAAGTAATCAAATCAGACGAATTATGATAAATTACGTAGATAAATCAAAATTTAATACACTATTGCGGGTATTATGTAGACCAGTTTTTCATTTAATCATTTATTGTTCCGGAAACGGTTTATTTTAACATGTTTAATTTTATGAGGTCCATAACAATTTACGCTCCCAAAAAAAAAAAAAAGTTTTATATTAATTGATTACATGTAGAAAGACCTTGCGGGTTTATGCTATGAGCCCATTTTATGTTCACAACAGAAAGGCGTTCTACCTTGAATTTTTTTTTTTGGCTTCGGGGCAGGTACTCGAATCTCAATATTCACAAAGCCCATTGCAGATATTGCTCCCGAGATCGTGTGAGTTATAGCCCTGGTGGTTAGTGTTTCAACTACTACTGAGCGTCCTTTAGTCTATCTTCCTGTCGGTGGTCTCATAACGACACCATCCACAAAGATACAATTAATTCTAGTAGACCTTATCAATCTAAGACCATTTTTCGACCCATTATTTTTTTGGCTTAAAAGCGTCGATTAAATGGTAACCATGCAATCAGACTGTACATCACATGTCAAACTCAATCCTTTTTTTGATGGTCATGGCGAGGGCACGGCATAATTTGGATATCATTGAAGATATTCGAACCTTGCTTGGTGAAGGATCAATCCAAACTAGAGCTTATAAACCTTTACTCATGTCACCCTACTACTCATCATGTTTTAATCCGATTGAGGAGTGCTGGTTCAAGACTAAAATAAATCCGCTTTCCCTGACACCCAGAGTCAATACCGCTTATGAGACTATTACAACAAAAGATTGTTGTAGTTGGATACCACACTCTGAGATTTACTGGGATACATGTCTTAATAAAGAAGACTAGTTTGTTTGTCCAAATTTTTATCTTTATTTGCCTGATTTATTTTTCAACGGTTGTCTGATAATACTGTATGTAGAAAATAATGTCTATACAAGTACCCCGATATCTATGGTATGCCCAATCAATTTTTTACGCAGACTGTAGCTTCTCGTGTTGTATACTTAGTGTATCTGAAGCAAGTTTTCCCAATGCAAGCCAAGATTTTTCTGACACTATAAGAGTTTGAAGAACCTTCCCTTCGTTGCAACGCTAATCCTGTACACATCCAGTGTTAGTTAAACCCCCATATTTTTGATAATTTCTCGTCCAATAGCAAGCAAAAAAAGAAGGAAGATTTATTTGCTGATAAAATGATCACAACGAATAACCAAAAAGGTTTCGTTTCTCAAATGTACTACCTGAAGATGCTGTCATTGAACCAGTTTCTAAAGTGATTGCTGGTAGGTTACACTACGCTTTTCGGGTACAGCGATATGTGTATAAAGCTTCTGATTTGCTTAGACCAAACTTTCGTTTATTTGCACCTTGAGATCCATTTTTTTTTACGAGGTACGTGCCCTTATGCAGTTAAAGTTCACTAAAATCAACAACCATGTCATGAACTTGGCTTTTCTCAGTTATGAAATGAATAACAGATGGCTTAATGTAAAAAAAAAAAAAAAAAAAAAATTGGTGAATTTATGCAGATTTTGGTAATAAGTGCCATACCTTGGTCCATAGTGCGATGTGCATGTAATCTCAACTCAATGTGTAAAAATGCCATCAGCAACATTTTTTAGAAAAAATGGTTAAAAAAAGACGCATGTAAATCATTCATAAAGATATAAACTTTTTATTGTCGATTAGTTCTTTGTGTTTATACCAGACTTTTGTGTTTTTATGCTTGTGTTAGGGCCGTTTAATTTTTACTGAAAACCGGCCAACTTTATAAAGGGTTACTTGTGAGGAAAACATCCTTTTTTTTATGAAAATTGACGAAGATTTAAATGAAGTATCAAATAGCACGTATCATTTAGGATAGCTTCTTTTTTTAAAAAAAAAAATCAGTCAAAACTACGTTTTTATAATCGGCCCTATGGGGTCGATTTATCCAAAAAGTGCTTGTAAATTAATGATTAGCATTCACAATTGCAGGAGACGAAAGAGCTAACTAATTCCTTACCACCCTTTTCTTTAAACTAATTTCCTCTTGTAATAACATTTCGTTCTGATCCCCTTGTTCAGTTCTTAAAAGTTTTTTAACAATAGGATCCCTCCCGGCTCATTGAATATATCGGCCGATACTAGGTGATTTTTTTTGTATGAATAAAGGGTTTAATTTATTATATTCTTTAGCCACAGTTCAAGTGTACAAAAGGAAGCGGCTTGACTGGCATGAACGTAAAACAAGATTCAGCAAAACTTACAAAAATAAGAAAAAATAGTATATACACATGGAAGACATAGCCCAAAGGGTTAACAACCACTTCTTATAGTTCTATCAAAGCTGCTGGAACTGTGGCTTTAAGAATTTGATCTAAAGAGGAGACAGGCTTGATGGAAGAGGAAGTATTAATACTACTGGTTGCCGGTAGTTTTTCTATTTCTGTAGCACTTGCAGGGTTTGGACGCGATTGTTATAAGAGTAGAGTGAAGCGCTTTTTTTGAAAAAATTGTTTTATGGTTATTTAATCAGCGGGTATTCTTTGGTCAAACCATTTATAGCAGCCAGAGGTATTTTGCAATTGCCTTACAATAATTTTTTCTTTGGGGGGGGGGGGGGAATAAAACATTTTTATTTGAACTTCACTTTTAAATATTCTCGATCACACACCAACACAAGTTAAAAAGCAATGGTATCATGTCTGATGGTAAGCTAATTTAAAGTAAAGGAAAAATATACAAATACCAGCATAAGTGAGAAGACCAGCATTAATTTTTATTTTTTTGAGGTGAATCATTTGGACTATCAGTAAAACGTTCATCGGAAGCATTTCCAGAGCAGACGGCGTCAGTATCATTCATGTAATTAAGAATATTTTCCAAGCTTGATTCGATACAATTCTTCATAAACAACATATTTTTGAAAAATATGGGTAACTGTGACCGGAACAACGCAGGGGAGGTGGGATAGTCAAATCGTAATTCTTCTTTGAATGTGTAAAGCTTGGGGCAAATCATCTGGAGACTGTAGATATAAAACTGCTTCTGATATAACTGAATCCCATACATTTTGATCTTTGTGATATTTGAGCCACCGGAAATGTTCAATTTGTAAATAGCATTCAGCATCAACTTCAGATTTTTTGCTAATTTTTTTTTGTCTTTCATAAAGTGGTTGTTGTCCACCAAATACCAGGGGCCGGAAACCTCAACAGCAGAAAACATGGCTATAAGACCTTCATCATCTACGATAGACAATAGTCCATCCACCTTTGTTTTACCAACCGAAGACTCCCCCCATGCCTTCTTGATGTTTTCGTTTAATCCAAAGAGTGCTTTAAAAAGTGGTGCGATAAAATGGAACTTGTAATCGTCTTCTTTTTGTTTGTAATCAGTGAAAAGATTGACGTGCTCTTCATAACGTTGATTTATGCTGTTAAACGATTGTCAGCGTCAGTAGCTTCTTGCTTTTTTTTTTTTTTTAGCTTTTATTTTCACTTACTAAGTTTTGATTATTTTTTTGATGACATATGGTATTTTGTGCTTATTGTTATCATAAAATTTTTTCAAACTTTTAAAAGAAGTACAATCATTTAAATTGAAATCGAGTGGCTCTGTGTGTGGGAGCGGAATATATACTTTGTTATCAATTTTTGTGATCCAATCCAAGTCTTCCTTTGTCAGTGGGGAGGTATTCAAGCTTGTATCGATAATATTATAGTATAATAACTGCTGCTTATGTATCAAAGGTTCATAATTTTGCTTTGCTTTCCAATCTTTGATTATACTATTCAGCTTGGAGTATTTTTCAACAAGGTCTACATTTATTCAATTCAGTTATTCACAAATACAGGAGACGAGAGCCCTGACTTCTTACCTTCTTCCGCGAAAATAACATTTTCCTGTAATTTTTCTTCGTCTTCTAGACCTTCATTATCTTGCAAGTCATACAAATCATCGTTTTCTTGGCTTGGGATAGTTGTCTTTAATAGTTTATTCACGAAGTCTGTATTTTCGCCACCCGGAGTGTTAAAGATGTCGTTGGCTCTCTTTCCATAGTCATTAATGTAATTGTTAATGTTGCCGATATTGCTGCTATCGTTCATATTATATATACTGTAACTAATTGCATTTTCTATGGTTGAGCTTGTACTTTCTGCGGGGGGAAGTTTCTTTAGAAGATATACAGCCTTTTTCTTAGCTTGAGCATTTATATTGACATTGGTTATTAATTCCAATAGTTGCTGCTTGACTTTTTGGATGGCCTCGTTTTTATCTATACAACCACTGAGTAATGCATTGATAGCCTCGTCTAAATCCCAGTCGTTGCATCTTAAATTGGTAAAGTACGACATAATGAAATGGATAAAAGTCAAGACAACAAGAGACAACACGAGAAAACGCGACACGAATTTCATCATTTTAAATACTTTGATTTGTGACGGTTCCTAATTTGCTCTTCTTGGTCTTTTTATTTTATTTGTCGTCGGGATAGTTCCCCAATGTCCTGCTTATTTTTCTTATAAAATGATGGTGATGAGATATTCCTAGAAGACTTTTCCCTTCATTATCTTTTTTTTTTTCAAGGCGTTTATTCTTTTTTTTTATTCTGAAAGCCCAACCAGTAGTGGTAATGCGTGTATCATTCATATTATGCTTCTTTAGTTACTTATGTTCTTTTAGGTTGTTCTCAAGCAAAAAAAAAAAAAAAAACTCATCTGATCTGATCTGAAGTGCGGAGTTGCCTTCTATGGGATTTTGTGTAATAAAAACTTCGGTGGACTTCAGATAGATTTTTTCATCTGAAGTTCCATAGAAGGCAACTCGCACTTCAGATCATATCAGATCAGATCAGATCAGAAAAGTTTTTTTTTGCTTGAGAACAACCTTAGTTACTTATGTTCTTTTAGTTGGTTTCATTTTTTTATAATAAATTTTCTTGATACTGGATTTCCCACCGTATTTTCAATAAGTCCGCAGTAATTTTTCAAAAGGCCTTTCACTGTTTTTTCAAAAAGCTTCTTTTAATTTTTCAAAAACATAACCTTAATTTTTCGAAAAACTTTTACCATGTCCATTGACGTTTTTATGAGCGATCTTAATCTTGATGTAGAAGGTGACGACGAGACTGAAGAGCTGTACGTTCACTTATACCAAAAAAATGCTGGATCGGCATCTAGTGTTACTGAAAGTGCCATGGAAGTAGATGATGATATTGCTGACGATTTGGAGGTTTTCCCTGATAGTAATGACGAAGACAGCAACAAAAGTTCGGACGAAGAGAGTGCCCGCATTGATGAGACTTTAGAAGAAGCACATACTCGTGTAAAGAGCTATTGTGACCTTCATTATAACCAGCCCGAATTTAAGCACGAGGATAAAAAGAAAAGAATCCACATGAAGTATAAAGATGAACAGATAGGAATGTTCATTGACTTGATCGCTGCTGGATCCGATGTGAAATCAGCCTGTAATTCAACTGGTATCAGATTGCACTCTGGTTATAATTATAGAAAAAAGTATAGAGAAGACCCAGAATTGGGAATCCCTGAAAGAAAGAAACGAGGTCCTAAGGGATCCCGATTCAAATTAAAAGACAGGCATATAGACTGGATCATCAAGTACATCGACGAAAGACCTACTGCTGTATTTGCTCAAGTTCTGGAAGATTTGACAAATCATTTTCCGGATGAGAATATTCAGGTGAGTAAGCCAGCATTGGTAATGTGATGTGCATTATTGCGAGCTCACTTATGATCGTAGCGTTCTTGACGATTAGGAATATGTCGCATATTTACAGTCTGAGGCAATCGAATAGTTCCTGAAGAGGTAATGTCCTGACGACGTGCCTAGTAGCGTTCGATGTGTAATTTGTCAGGAAAATGGTGTGCAGGTTCCCATGTATCTTCCTCGTCGGATTGATCTTTCCATCGTACAAGGTACATATAATTAGTAGGATTGGTTCCTTTGTGGTTGATAATACTTTGAACTTCTTGGAAGTCGGGATCATCCTCTTCGAAATCCGTTGTGGTACTATTGACTTTAAGAAGTTTAATATGTGATGTATGGACGTCACGAGAGAGGAGATTATTGGCTTGATCGACTAGGACGTAGGAACCATTGGTGGTGTAGTTTCAGATAGTGAAAGGACCGATGAAATTAGGATCGGTTTTGCCAGTTTTCATGACATTTCGTATCATGACCTGTCGACCAATAGGAAATTTCTTGTGAATGATATGATGATGTTTGAGGAATCGTGCATTGTCTTTTTCCTGTGTCAATTTTATACGTTTTGATAAAGCAGGGATAAGGAATTCATTAACTTTGTGATATTGAGCAGAAACAAGTTCAGGAGTAATGACTGAATTATCTCAGTTAGGGTCAACGTTAGTGTAATTTTCGAAATCATTAGCTCGTCGATTGAACATAACCGCAAAGGGTGTAGAGTGGTGTAAACGAGAAACCTTGAGGTTCATCTCTAACTGTGTAGCGTCAAGGAGAGTGTCCCATTGCTGTTTTGCACCTTGCAGCTTTTTGATTAAAGTACGTTTAGTGATATGTACAAACTTTCATTGGTACCGTTGGAGTTAGGTGTGTATGCTAAACTAAGACGATGGTAGATGCTTCCTTGTCAGGCAAGGCACGAAGGATTGTGAAACGTGTGAAGAGATCGACATAGACCATGATGAAGTTATTGCCGGCGTCGGATGTGATATTAAGTGTACCTAAATCACAGACCGCATGATGACCTGGTGCAGTGGGTAAAATCTGTTTAGGAGGATGGTATCCGGTTTTCGACCAATTGAAGGCAAGGCAAGTTAGACATTCACCTACAACTTCGATGATGTCTTTTCGTAAGTTCACCCAGTTAATATGTTCGTCGCGTATGGCGGATTCGATAGCATTGATGCCAAAATGTCCCTTGAGATGGTGACGTTCGATGATAGCACGACGTTGATCAGGTGGAGGCACCATAGGGTCGGCTAGTTCCGATGCGCGTTGTACAAGAATGCGATTGGATTCGTTGTCGTCGTGTGACGTAGAAGAAAATTGGGTGGATTTCTCTACCGCCCCCCTCTGTTTTGTGTGTTGTTGTTTGTTAAATAACTTAGCTTGTTTAGCTTCAGCGTGATTGTCCATCTGACGTTCAACTTCTGGGGAAGCGAATAGACGACTGAGCATGTCAGCAAGATAATTTTCGGAACCTCGAATGTAGACGATTTCAAAATTCTTAGAGTAGATGGTGGTGTACCAGTTCTGAAGTAGAGGTGAACAGTATCGTTGAGAATGAAGGAACGTGAGGCTGTAATGGTCCGTGAAGAGGAGAAAGGGAGTTAAATGTAGCCATGAGTGATAGCGTTGAAACATGTAGGCGATGGCGAGGCCTTCAGATTTATTGACGCTGTAGTTACGTTCACTAGCTGTTTTGGACCGTGAAGCGAAACCGAGGAAGCGAACAATAATCTGTCGATCAAGCTGCCATAAGAAGCCACCAATAGCATAGTTACTAGCATCCGTGTTGACCCGCAGGGGTAAGGATGTATCCATGACTGAAATGACCGGAGCATGTGTGATAGCATATTTAAAAGCGGTGTAGGCTGGGTCGTGAGTGGAGTTCCATGTCTGTGCAAAGATCCGTTTGTCACTAATGCTACGAAGCTTGTCCAATGGAGCGGATATGGAAGCGTAATTAGGAATGTGTCGTCGAAAAAAGTTAAACAATCCAAGTACTCGCATAAGAGCTTTGTTGTTGGTAATCGGTGGAAGTTGATCCAGGTTACAAATTTTACTGCTGTCGATCTGGAGACCTTTGGAACTGAGACGGAAGCCCAGCAAGGTTAAAGATGTGAGGAGAAAATGGCATTTTTTGGATTGGAGAATTAGACCTGCTTGGTTCAGTCGAGTAATGACCTCTTTGACGAGAGTGGCGTGTGCGACTATATCAGTTGTGTGGGTACCGGTTGTGATATCGTCAATGTAGGCAAAGACTGTAGGCAAATCACGAAAGAGATTGGAAATAATGCGCTGAACAAATGATGGTACTGTTTTTATGCCGAAACAGCATTTTCGAAAGACGTATTGTCCCGTGTGTGTGGTGAAGGCTGTGAATGGCTGGGATTCTTTAGCAAAGGCAAAACGAGTAAAGCAGCTTTTTAAATCAAGAACTGTAAAAATGGAGCAATGTGATAATTGTTCATGGATCTCATCTATGCGAGGTAAGCTGAATGCATCAGATTTAGAGGCGATGAGATGTTGATTGAGGTTTCGCATGTCGGCACAGATTCTGACTTCGGAGCCGTAATTACCTGCAATGTCTCGCTTCTTTGCGAAAAGAATGGGATTATTATGAGGTGTGTTAGCGTCGGCTAAAGTAATAGTTTCTTCCTCGAGCCAAGCCTCAATTTGTTCGTTTAGTTTAGACTTATAGGCTAAGGGTAATGGATATTGTTTACGGAAGATGACTGTGTTCTCAGGGAAATGGAGTGTAACTTCCGAGTTAGGTACTGTACAAACCGATTTAGGATCGATGGAAGCATTAGAATGTAATACGATCTCCAGTGATTGTAAGAATGTGGATCGTTCTGTGATAGAACCGTAATATTCGTATGTAGGTGTGTTGGGTAATGGGTCAATAGGGTCCTCGATTGTAGGTAAACTATTTTCGTCCCATGTAGTAGTGAGCCCAGTGATGTTAATGTTCATTTTAGACATAAGGTCGGTACCAATGCAAACATCAGCTTCACTATTCAGATTAAAAACTTCAAAGGTATGATGGATGTTAAGATTATTATAGAATAGATGAACGTTGTCAATAAAACCAATACGCTCGATGGAGCTATTAGCATCGCCCAAAGAAATAGTATGACTTTTAGATTGCGACAAAGATGTCGTATGTGGTATAATAAGTTTTGGTAAGGAGGGTGTCATGCCCAATTTGGAAGCTAAAGAAGGCTTTAGAGAGGAGAAATTGGAACCAGAGTCGACGTAGGCCCAACATTTATAGCCCTGAATAGTGACAGGAATAATGATATAATTTGGAGAATCGTTGAGAGGAGCAGGCTCATCATTAATGGTAATGTTAGACTTATTGTGGACTAATTGGGGAGATGAAACGTCCTCGTCTTGGACGAAAGGAGACGTAAGAGTGTGAGCTTCGTCAATGTGGCTCCGGGGAGGCGAACGTTGAGAGGAAGGATGTTGATGAACATCAAATTGATTATTTTTTATGTGCATGGCACGTTGTGTAAGTTCCTGCATGTGAGGAGCAGTGATAGGTGATTCAGGAGCACCAGAATCGTACAAGCAATACAAAGCGCTTCGGGAATCATTAGCACCAATTGCTGTAGACGTACAGTCTTTCATCTCCGTATCGCCTTGGTCAGGAATGCCTTGAAGCCCTCCAGTGGCAGGGTTCATCATA